GGAGCGGTTTTTTCTTTCCCCCCCCCCCCCCCCCCCCCCCAACCCACCCTCCCTCCCTCCCTCCCACCCTCCCACCCTCCCTCCTTCCATTCTCTCCTCCCCCTCCCTCCTGTCCCCCTTTCCCCTCGCCTCCTTTAGACCTGCAGCGGACTTCGCCATCGAGGGTCAACGCCGAACAAGCCTTTCTCCCGGTATTCCTCGAGCACGTGCGGAGGGATTTCAGCTTCCTCCCCTCCGCTGCCGTCCCGCTCCTTGACGCTCGACGAGCTCAGGGCGCTCAGGCGTGCAGGAGTCGAGGGAGTCGAGGGAGTCCTGCTGGGGTTCTTGCGGGAGCGACAATGTCCTCTGAGCTCGAGCTCGAGTTGCTGCCTTCCCCTCGGCTAGTCGAGTTGATCTTTGAGAGAATCTCTCGCACGGTCTCGTTTGCTTCCTCCACCATGGCAGGAAGCTTTCTGCCCGACGTGGCTCGCAGCTGCTCTCGCCTGACGTCATCGGCCCTCTGCTCTGCCTCCTCCCGCGCCTTGTGCGACTGACTGGCAGTTGAAACGCTCGCCGTCCTCTCGCTGACTCGTTCGACTGCTGGCTGCGTGACGTCACCCCTCAGAGGCTGCGACTTGATGTCCACGCCCTTCAAGCTCGTCCTGCGAGTCTGAGGGGCCAGAGTCCTGCTCCTCTCCTGCTTCCTTTCAACGCCCATCGACAGCCCTGCCTGGCTGGGCTCCATTCGCTCTGAGAGGAGAGCCTTCTCTACGTGCACCTCCTCCTCCTTCCCCTTCTCCTTCTCCTCCTTCCCTCCGAGCGGCAACCAGGACCCAAACGCCTTCCCAAAGTTCTCGAGCGCCTCCACCAGCCCGAGGTTCTCACTCGGAGCCTGCCCGCTCTCCTGCTGCAGGGAAGTCTGCAAGGACGATGCGGGCGGCCGCCGATGGGGCGAGCAGGCAAGGCAGCTGGCGACGGCGTCGCGGAGGAAGAAGGGATAGAGGTCGGGGAGGTGCTGGGGGAGGATGGGGTCGACCTCGACCTGCGCAGCGAGCATGCCCTTCCTCTGCCAGAGAAACTGAAGTGACAGACACTCGTAGCCGATGCAGCCGATGCCCCACACGTCGACCGTCTCCGCATACTCGTCGCGGTAGAGAACCTCAGGTGCCATGTAGCAGGGGGTTCCAACCTGCGACAAGAAGACAAGTTACAAGATGAGGACAGAACGGAAAGAAGGGAGGAGAGGAGAGGCATTGCAGCAGCACCTGCGACGTTCGTTTCCCTCGTTCAATGGTCTGTGCGAGTCCAAAGTCTCCTATCCTGAGGCTGTCTTCTGAGAACAAGAACACGTTCTGCGGCTTCATGTCTCGGTGAACGATCTAGACGGGCCGTCAGTAGCAGAGAGCGAGGCACAAGCTGAGCTCACTTTCTGCTGATGCAGGTGCGCGATGGCAGATGTTAGTTGCTGCATCCATCTGACCGACATGCCGTCAGCTTCTCTTGGAGCAGCGACTTTCCTACCTCACGGCCCTCATGGGGTCCACCAGCGTCCTGTGCTTCTTGTACGTGATGAGATATCTCGCCAGGTCGCCGCCCTCGCAGTACTCCATGACTGTGCAGACAACAAGCTGCTTGCCTTGCTCACTCAGAAACACATCCTCGTACCTGGGCAAGCACGGCTCACCCACGAGACTGAGAGGCTCTGCTAGACTACCTGTTGACGTACGGGTGTCGAATCTGTTTCAGCAGCTTGGCCTCGAGCAAAGCTGAGTTTGCACTTCGGCAGTCATCGCAGAAACTTTGCTTCAGAACCAGCACACGATTGTCGTAGATCCTGCGGACCCTGCTTGTGACCCCCTGACCTCCTTTGGCGAGCTGGTTCAGAACCTCGTAGTCCCTCAGGTCGGAGTCCTCCATCCTTCAACTTGATGCTTCACCTTGGCGTACAAGACACCATAACCTCAACTAGAGATAAACGTCGACAAGCCTCCCCTCCTTCTCTCCCCTCCTCTCCTTCTCTTCTCCTCTCCTTCTCTTCTCCTATCCCCTCCTTCTCTCCTCTCCTCTCCTCCCCTCCTTCTCTCCTTCGTCTCATATGTCTCCCCACGTCATGGCGCTTCCCCAATCACAAAGGGGTGGGGTGTTGGAGTGGTGTTTATGGGGTAGGGGGTTATCCAAAAAAAAGGAGTCAAGGCAATTATGATACAACATGATATAGAGAGAATGATACACGCCCTTCACTTGTGCGCTGTGAGCTTGTCGAGGCTCCATAGGTCAGCCAGCTTGAGGTTGGAGATGAGATGTAAGAACTCGATCTGATCCAGGCGACCTGACCCATCCACGTCCACTGCCTGCACGTGACCTTGCATGTCGGCATCCGTCAGGTTCAGTCCGAGTTCGGCGAACACTTTGCGGATGTCCGCTATCTTCAGCTCTGCGTTGGACTCGTTCTTCCTGCTCCCTACCAGTGAGATTGCAACAAGATCAGGAGGGTCAAACCTGAATATCTGCTTCAACGCTTCCACCTCCTCCTCACTGAAACCCATGTTCTCTGCTTCTTCGCTGCTCATCCATCCACTCTCAGGGGCCCAGCGGCGGTAGTTTCTAAGTTGGATGCTACAGTCAGTGGAGGAGGGACAAGAGAAGGCGGGGAGGACGGGCCCTCGCACTCCTTCCACGCTCTCTCCCAGCCGCTCGCCATTGAGCGAGAACGCGAGCACTCCGGTGTCGAGGTCAAGCCACACAGTCAGCGTGTCTCCCTCCTTGAGCGCTGGCCCGAGGATGCGGGGGTACGTGTTGTCCAGCTCGAAGCCAGCAGCAGTGACTCGGTTGACAGCAAGAGGATCACCCTGGAAGCGGAGCTGCTTGAAGGAAGACTCGAAGACGTTGCCGTGCATGATCGCGCTTCTGCCCATGGAGCTCGACGCTACTGCCCAGGAGAACACGTCATCGCCCACCTCAAAGCCGTACAACTTGGTCACGGCGTAGAAGCTAGACTCCGCGCTCACGGGAGCTTCGAACTGAATGTAAGCCGTTCGAGTTTCTCCGACGTAGGCAAAGATGCGTGAAACCTGACCTGCTCCCATGCCCTCGGTGATGTGCAGATGCATGCCTTCATATGCTCCATCTTGCGAGCTTGCAGAGGACTCAAGAACAACTGCAGAGGCCGAAACTTCTTGACACTTCCCAGCAGCAAGGTGATAGACTCCCCGAGCGACGGCGTCCGACTGCACTATGCCAAGCTTGATGGAACCAGCGTTCACTTCATCACCTCCCTGTGACGATCTGAGTCGTGCGATCACAAACTCCCACGAATGCTTTCCACTCCCTGTCAGAACCGCTCCAAACTTCTTGCCGGCCCGGAGTGTGGAGCTGAGAGCAGCGATGGCTGTAACAGAGGCGATGGACTGGCCGACTTTGTTGACCGTGCAAGCATCAGGAGAGAAGCGGAGGAAGTCGCAGGAGACTTGACGCGACCAGGCGAGGGGAGGGAGGCTGGAAAGGAAAAGACGGGAGAAGGAAGATTTCGAGTAAAGGTTCAAGAAATGAACTTCGGCGGAGGCATTGTTGCGAGCCTTGACAATCCCTCGGTGAATTGACTCAATCTGCTGTCGCGATGTGAATCCCAAGTCCTCCAAGACAGACTTGTCATCGATCTTCTTGACCTCATTGATACTCAGATTCTTTGCCCTAAACAAGTCACTTGCCTCGCTCAGCTCTTCCTCACTTATTTCACAACAGCCTCTGAGGAAAGACTTCAAGCTGGTCGCATCCAGATCTCGTCGTATTCCATGGACAAGAACGTCCGAGAGGCAGCGAGCCTTGTTCTCGTCCTCATCACCATGAGGCCCTTCATCTTGCCGGTCACTGGAAGTGAGGGCTGCCCTCAGATGCTTCTTCAGTGAGAAGGCGAAGGGGGAGATGTCAGCGCAATCCTGGTCCTGAACACCGAAGACTCCAAGGAAACATTCTCCTACTGGATCTCCTCGCTCTGTGAATGCTTTCGGGGCTCGAGTGATGGGCTGCCGGTGGATGAGGAACATGGCATCGTGTGCTTGCGGCAGATGCTCTCCTTCCACTCGCACAACTCCTCTGCCTTCGAAGCGGAGGCCTCGCGCAGAACTCCGCGTGTCCCACACAGAGCCCTGGAATTCGGCGAAGCTCTGCTCGTCCGCCGTCTCCTTCTCGCTGTACCGAAAGTGCAGGAGTTCAATCTCGTCATCGATGTCGCAGAGAGAGACGGCCGGGAAGAGAACGCCTGAGTGGTCAGCCGGTCGGACGAACCGCTGGTTGAAGTGCCGGTTCTGATGCCTCTTGAACTTCCCCTCCACCTCGAGCTTGATTGATCCCTGCCAGAGGTCGGCAAGAGATTCTATTCGAATGAGTTCACCTGGACCATGTCGAGCGTGATGGTTACAACGTCACCGGCTTCTATGTGATCTGCTTTGCCCCACAAGGCCTTCGCCTCCACAGCTCGCGAGTTGTGAAGGAACTGACCCACCTAGAAGCGAGTCACCAGCCAGCTTCACTCAGACATCTCTAGCTCATAACCTGATTGAACGCCCATCCGCCTGCTGTGGATCCTAAAACGTCATTCAGACTGCAGAAGGCGTTCATCCCGTCTCCGTAAGTCTGTGGGTCAAAGTTCCATCATGATTTTCAGTCAACGATTCAAGCCTTCCTTAGACAGCATGTCGACGTCACAGATTCCAAATGAAATGCTGTAACCAAGGTTCTTCACCTGCATGGGATCGTTAAAGCTCGTTGTTCTCCTCCTGACTTCCTGCCTTACTAGGCAAGACCAGGTAGCATGTCCTCGACGAAGAGGGATTTGCATCACGGCGACGCGTGCCATGGTTCCGGCTGAAGGAGCATTCATCGAGCTGGAGAAGGCATCACTGCTGGTACCTGAAGGGGGTTGAGGAAGATCTCGCTTCAGCTCTTCTTTTGCCTGAAAAAAGCCAAGTTGACGCCAGTGGCCATGTCGAGACACAGCGCAGCCAATACACTCATGAAACTCTCATGTTCGACCGACCTTGAGGTCTGCGTGCAAGTCCAACTTCCTCTGGCGACAGAAAATCAGACACGTATAGCAGAACAGCCAGCAAGAAGCCTTGAGAAGCGTCGCAGGAACATTGGTGTCCTGGGATTGGATCAAGGCGATGTCTTCAAGGCTCTCCTCGTACAGCCTGTTGCTCATGTCATGTGCTGCTCTGAAGCAATGGAGTGTAAGCTACTTTTTGGCAAGATTGAATTCTTTGACTATGTCGTCAACGTAAGATGATCGCGATTCAAAGAGATCCATGAATAACATCTTCGGCTTCCTTTCCTTAATATGTGAGAGCCTGTAGCGTTGAAAGCGACTTTCACCCTTCCATGCCGATCTCTTCAAATCGCTTCCAAATGTCCTTAATGTAGATCTTCTCGTTGTCTATAGCTAGAAAGCACTCTCCATCTCCAACCTGGCGGTCAACGTCATCATGCTGCTGTACCCACAGTGCCTTCACCGCAGCGATGTACACCAACACACAGTCATACGTGTGGGAAAGAGTTTCGATGTTCTCCATGGAGATCTCATCCATAATGTACTTCTTCTTGACATTCTGTCGCGGTCTGACTTCGAATCCGAACAGCTGCAGTTCCTCTGCTACCAGAGACGCGCTGTCGTTCGCGATGTTCAATACAAATTCGCCACTTTTGTCCAGGTAAGAAAACGACCAAACGAAGGCGATACCGAAGGGCCTCCCTCGGAGAGGATAGCAGTTCAAGGATAAAGACAGGCGTTCATGCTCCTCGACTTCACTCAAGGCTGTGGCAGGCAAGCTCATGGCTGCCTTTTCTTCTCCTCTCTTTCCTCGCCAGTCAGCAGCATCGCAGTCTGGAACCAAGACTTGTACGAGACCTTCTGGATCACAGGCAAGCGTCTCATGGCGATGGGAAGCCTCATCATGTTCGAGGCTGTGGCGCTTCTTCTCTTGTCCTCCCTCCCTCCTCCTCTCCCACCTTGGCGCTACTGTTAGCGGCATCCTGGATCTCCATCGACGCTGCTCCTGGTCTTGGCGCCGGACCTGATGACTCAGTCCGGGCCCCGGGCCACCCGAAACTCAGGCCGATGACAGTTAACTCAAAATTTCACTTAACTTGAGTCTGCCTCCGCGGCTTTTAAAAAACGGTTGCCAGGGCCGGGCCGCCGGTCACCGAGAAGTCTCGGGGTGGGGTACTTATCAGCTCCTACCCACGGGTAGTGTCAGGCCACCGGAAAAATCGGGTACTAGCCGGGTCTTAGGAAGTCTACGACTCAATAAGGTACAAGAGGTCACTCACAAAGAGCCGTTACAGACTCTCCTAGTAAAGTCCTAGGTCACCTAAACCACGCTAGGGTGTAGGAGGGGTGAGAGAGCCCACTGGTCCTAGACTCAATATGAAATCTAGTATGCCAAGGTCCTAGAAAATGACAAATGCGACGGGAGCTATAATTTCACTAGCAGTACCGGTGGTGGGAAGCGGAAATGATAACCCAGTCCAATAAGCATCCGTAGGGGCGTCGACTGGTACCACACGGGTGGTGGAAATGAACTGGAAAAGGGTAGGTGGGGGGTGCTAGCCTGAGAAGTGTCAGGAATCCTCAAGTGGGAAAAGGGGGGTTATCCACCCCACCCCCAGAACCCCACCCCCTACTCACCAGTTTCTGCACCCCCAAGCTTCGCATCCATTTGTCGCGCGCAATGGCTGAGAACTACTACGTTCCTGTTGACGGCATGCAGGGGATGAACGTGGGGTACGAGCAGAAGCTCAACTTGCAGACCTCCGAGATGATCGAGACCTACCAGCCCAACGATGTCATCACCAATGATCCCATCCCTGGGCTGGCAGTGGATGAACTGCAGGAGGTATGCAAAACTTGAAATGTGGGCACGTATGAAAGCGACTGAATGTATGAACTACAGAACAGCCAGCAATTCCAGCAAATTCAGATTCTAAGGAACCCAAACCCGCAAGGGAGTAGTGGAATTGGTATTCAATTCTCCAAGTTGCAAAGCGGGCCGTTCTATGTTACTGGCGTCGTGCCCGGGGTACTGCGATTTTGTGTTCAAAAGTTTGTTGTCTGATTTTATTGCTTAGAGCAACGCCGAGAAGTGTGGAATGATCCAACCTGGACACCTGATTCATGAAATCAATGGGCAGAATGTGTACAGTCTGTGGGCAAACGACTTGACCTCCATGATCATCGGACAACCTGGCACTCCCGTGATTCTTTCTATCTCGACGTTGCCGCAGGTCTCATTTTGCAACACGAAAGCACTTATCTGAAACCTTGCAGGATCAATCAGTGCCATTCCAGGCAGTGCCCGCGCCTGTCATGCAGCAGCAGCCCGTTCCTGTCATGCAGCAGCAGCCCGCACCTGTCATGCAGCAGCAGCCCGCACCTGTCATGCAGCAGCAGCCCACACCTGTCATGCAGCAGCAGCCCGCGCCTGTCATGCAGCAGCAGCCCGCGCCTGTCATGCAGCAGCAGCCCGCGCCTGTCATGCAGCAGCAGCCCGCGCCTGTCATGCAGCAGACTGGATCGAAGGAAATTCCGAGGAAAGAAGTGATGATCCAACGAAATGCTCTTCCGCCATCAGCAGCTGCAAACAGCAGATCGGGCATTGGTCTCATGTTCTGGAAGAGTGTGCACCCTGGGCCGTATACCATTTCTGGTGTAACTCCTGACGTGCGTTCTCGTTCTCGTCTTGCGGAGAGCCTGAATGTTTTGCAGGGAACCGCTGCTTCTAGCGGGCTGGTGAAGGCAGGAGATTTGTTGCACGCAGTAGATGCACAAGACGTTTACCCGTTAGCACCAGAGCAAGTCACAGCGCTGATCCTCGGCACACCAGGAACGATGGTGAAGTTGGTGATCTCTAGCCCAAGTGAGCTGGTCGCCCCTGAGTTGCCTCCCAACCAGGTTTGTGCATAAGCTCATATCATAATTAAGCTCAACGCAATCAATTCTGATGTGAAAACTGGAAACAGGGACTGGAGCAATTTGTCTTGATGAGAGATGAATCGGGAAAGGTCGGTATGGATGTTTGGAAGAGCACAAACAACGCGTTTGAAGTCGTTGCTGTCCAACCCAATGTGGGAGATATCATCTCAGCTCGTGCCAAAAGTTCTATCTGATCATGAAATTCAGGGACCGGCATCCAGAGTGAACCTTCAAGTTGGAGACTATATCCATGCCATCAATCAATTCAGGTGTTATCATCCATTGCAGATGTTTGTCAAGAAATTGACTGAGACGGATGTGCAGCCTCTATGACAAGGATGTCAACGAAGTGAATGCTCTGCTGAATGGGATGCCACACTCCGTTGTTTCAGTGTGGAAGCAGACTTTCAAAGCCAGTATGCAAGCGTCAGAACAACTTCCTGCAGAGTATGAAGCCAGAAGTACATCGGCTGGTCTCCTGCTGACAGTTGGTTATGCAGGATGATCGCTCAGGAGGGCGAGGCAACGATACAGGCGGCCCATGATCCTTCCCCGGACAACTTCTATAACTCGGAGGCTCAAAGATTTATTTAATGCAGTACATTGGACTCGTCCCCTCCCCAGCTCGCGCAAACGGGTCCACTGGCAGGCCGGGGCCCACTTCTTCTTGGGCGGGGAAAAGCTCTGCGATATGGAACAGTGGGTGGATGATGTGGCAGAATAGTACGCTCAGGCTAGAGGGAACTTGGCTTGAAGTTGAGGCGGCCCGATGAGGCAGTGGCGAGAGCTAGGGTCTGGGCACCGGGGGGAGGCCGCCGCTGCGGCAGGTCTATCAACGTCAAGTAGGGGACTCGGATCGTCTGCGGCGCTCTTGCCCGTCCACTACTCCAAGTTGTCCTGATCCTTGTTCCCTGCTGCCGCATGCCGCCGCTCACGTGGTTGGAGTAGAGATTTTCGCTGCCTCTTTCTTGTCCTACTTCTCTGTTGAGGCGGACTTGTTGATTTACCCTTTTCTTTATTCATCACAATTGACAGCGCGATGTGTGTATAATTCAAGATTCATCATGGAACGTGTTCAAAGCAATGAAAGAAGAATAGTTTCTTCAAGTCAAAAGAGATATCGATTCACTCGATAACGCATCTTTGCCATGAGTCGCATGTTGCATTGAATCAGAAGAAGATTGAACAATGGCAGAAATCTGTCAGTGGGTGAGCCAATCAAATCAAACGAGTTCGCCTCAGAGAGATAGTAGAAAAATTTGAAGGACAGCGAACTCAGCCGCCTATCATGAGGAGTAGAGGACGAGGACTGCTAGGAGGAGAAACATCTGAGGTAGAGGACGAGGACTGCTAGGAGGAGAAACATCTGAGGTAGAGGACGAGGACTGCTAGGAGGAGAAACATCTGAGGTAGAGGACGAGGACTGCTAGGAGGAGAAACATCTGAGGTAGGAGCATGAAGTAGAAGTGGGAGGGGGAGCACGAGCACGAGCGGTATGAGGATCAAGAGCAGGGGAAGGGGCAGGGGCAGGGGCAAGGAAGGGATAGAAAAAGCAGAGGAAGCAGGACAAAACTTTCTGCATGGGCGAGAGGAGAGCGAAGAGGAGGTTGACCATGGGGACTGGAAGGAGGAGGAGGAGGGTGAGACGGATGAATGTCTACCTGGATGTCCTAAACCTCGACATCGTCTTCGTCTTTTTCATGGCCGTACTGTTTATTGCAATCACCATCGCGTTTGTCATCATAGATTAGTTTGTTTGGCCATGCATCTGCATCACAGGCGATTAAGTCTTTTACTATGATATCGATGATGTCATCTCGCTGCTGACTTCAACATTCCCTTGCAGATTGTGCGATGAGTGTGGCGGAACGAGCCGAAGAATCAGCGAGCAAGCGTCAGCGCGTGGAGGAAGAAGGGACCCACGTAATAGTATGAGATGAAAGGAAATTCGAGGACCGTCTATGTGACATTGTCTCTCTTCTTCTCCCTTGCTTCTGCGGTATCTGTGATGGAGGGACAAAGCCATCCTACCAATATCTCTCTTACTGTCTTGTCTCCTACTGTCTTGTCTCCTACTGTCTTGTCTCCTACTGTCTTGTCTCCTACTGTCTTGTCTCCTACTGTCTTGTCTCCTACTGTCTTGTCTCCTACTGTCTTGTCTCCTACTGTCTTGTCTCCTACTGTCTTGTCTCCTACTGTCTTGTCTCCTACTGTCTTGTCTCCTACTGTCTTGTCTCCTACTGTCTTGTCTCCTACTGTCTTGTCTCCTACTGTCTTGTCTCCTACTGTCTTGTCTCCTACTGTCTTGTCTCCTACTGTCTTGTCTCCTACTGTCTTGTCTCCTACTGTCTTGTCTCCTACTGTCTTGTCTCCTACTGTCTTGTCTCCTACTGTCTTGTCTCCTACTGTCTTGTCTCCTACTGTCTTGTCTCCTACTGTCTTGTCTCCTACTGTCTTGTCTCCTACTGTCTTGTCTCCTACTGTCTTGTCTCCTACTGTCTTGTCTCCTACTGTCTTGTCTCCTACTGTCTTCGCTCCTACTGTCTTGTCTCCTACTGTCTTCTCTCGCCCCACCTTCCTTCATTGACTCCTCTAGGCTCCCTTCTCTGCTCCTTTCCCTCCCCTTTCTGCTCCTCTTCCCTCCTTTCTTCTCTGACCCTCCTCACCATTTGGAACACAGTTGCCTTGGGCTCCAGGGCAACCCGTTGCAAGGTGGCAGATGAAGTGGAAGGAGGAGGAAGGTCAAGATCAGAGAATATCTGAAGCACATCGCAAGTTCTTGACAGAGCAAGTCCCGACGATGAAGGTAACGAATGAGAAAGCAATGATGACAAGTTCAGTGAGAGAGGACTGAAGTCTGTGCCTGTCTCAGATCATCTTTCGTGATCAAAACTTCTTGGTGATCAACAAACCATACGACGTGAGGATGGATGGTGAGCATGAGGTGATTCCCCTTGTGCGCTTCTTGATGCCTAATGAGATGCCTGGATGTGTAACAATCTAACCCTGACCCTACTCCTAAACCCTTACGTGTTGACGTTTCATTCCTACCTTGCTCTTGTCTTCTCTTTCTTTTGGTCGTTGTTTGTTCTCAAGTGTTATCTTGAGCTCTCAAGGATATCCATCAGGTCACAGTGGAGAAGTTGGCTGCACAGATTCTGCTCGAGGACAAAGCGAACGACAGAGAAGGAGGGCAAGGAGAAGAGGCGGCAAAGACCATCCGATTTCCTCATCGACTTGACTTTGCCACGAGTGGGGTAAAACTTCCTTGGTCGACTTGTATCTCTGTGTCCCTCTTTTCCTCCTCCCTTCCTCTCTCATTGCTCCTGCACCTCCCGTAACTGGCTGCCTTTCCATTCCCCTCAAGCTCAAAACTGCTCAGGTGCTGTGCATAGGATTAAGCAGGCGAGCGACAGGAGCAGCAGGAAAGCTTTTTGAGAGCAGGTTGAAGAAGACCGCACGAGTCCCTTCCCTTCCTCTTATCGCCATTCTCTCCTTCTCGTGTTCTGCCCTCGTGGTCCTCCTTCTCCTCCTCCTCCTCCTCCATTTCTGCCTGCTCTTTCATCTCACCTCTTCGCTTCCTTCAGGTCTGCGTGCAAGGAATATCTTGCCATCTGCTACGGCCGTGTCGCTCGAGAGGTCGATTTCCCCTCCTCGTCTCCTCCAGCTGACTGCCAGCAGGGCATGAAGATAGACAAGCCCATTGCTAATCGCCTTGTCAAGGAAGGAGAAGATTTTGTGAACCCAACGGGCTCAGATGGAACCAAAGTGAAAGAATCGACTACTACTTCCTCCTTCCTCCCCCTCCCATGTCATCCATTTTCCTCACCCTCCTGATATTAGCCGACAGGATTTTCGGATGTGCATTGGTGATGTAAACAATGCCGGACGAGATGCGTTTACGGTGAGGAGAGAGGAAAGAGAAAGTAGAGCGACGAAGGAAGAAGACGTGGAGAGAAAGAAGGGGAAAGGAACAAGGGGAGAGGGGCTTGCAGAGAGAGCGAGAGAGGAGAGAGGAAGTATTCACGACTATTCATGTAGGAGGTTGTGGTACTTTCTTGGGGGAAGTACATGGGCAAGGAAGTTACAAAAGTGCTTCTGCTACCTAAGACTGGCCGTCGGCATCAGGTGACCCTCCCTCTTTCCCTCTCTCACCCTGTTCCGCTACCTCCTCGTCGTTGTCTCCTTTCTCATATTCCAACAGCTGCGCGTTCACCTTGCAGATGCTGGACATCCAATCGTTGGCGATTACACTTACTGTGGAGATGGAGAAGTGAGTAGGAGGAGAGGGAGGTGAAGAGCGAGGAAGGCAACGTAGGAGGGAAGGTGATGGATCCCTACGATGAGACGAGACGAACTTGAAGCGAGAAGTGACGATGGTAGACGTGCAGAGAGCAGGAGCAAGACAGGAGGAGGCCCAGCAGGGAGTCGACGGGCACAGAAAGCGAATGGCAGGGGGACTGACGTCTTGCGGCAGGCACCGAGGATGATGCTGCACGCGTGGAGGTTGACGATGAAGCTGCCGGAGAAGGTGAGGAGGAAGGAGGGAGGAGGAGAGGCGGAGAGAGGAGGGAAGTAACCCGGCGGCTCAGATGTGCGGGAAGCAAGTCTGGATTGCCGATGATCCGTTCAAAGAGCTGCTGGAAGAAGAGGAGACAGTCAAGGAGCTAGAAGCTGCGACAGGCTGATGACGAGGATGGTTGAGTTGATTCGAATCAAAGCAGAAGGTCTTAAGTCCTCGCCGATAGAGAAAACATTCTCTTCTCCCGCTGCTTCTCGAAGCGAACGAACCCCGGATGTTCCTTGAGCGTCCCGTCGCCACTGAAGCGAAGGAGGTGCGAGAACTTGTCCTCGAGCTCACGCCTGCGGATAAAACCCTCCACGGGGTTGAAGTTTCCCTCCCGCTGCCTCCCCTCCTGCCAGTTCTCTAGCTCTTGTAGCGCCGCGTTGTACTCCTGCAGGTCCCTCACCTTCATGCTCGACGTGTAAACCGACGCTGTGCGCGATCTCGGACTCCTCAGGATTGAAGGGTCGCCCTGGGGAAGAGAAGCAGCGCGGGATCGAAAGGAGCGCTTTTCCTCCTCCACTGTCTGACAGTCAAAGGCAGACACTACATCCATGCAAAGCTTGTTTCGCCGAGGATCGCTATGCCTGACGGATCGATTGCCTCCTCGGGCTCCTCCTTGAGCTCTCCGAGGCATCGCAAATGCTGGATCCGTGCTGCCGTCGAAAGATGGCATCTTCGCCATGTCCTCGTCCTCTTGCTGGTCTCGTAAGGAGTAACAGCTGAGACATTCCGATCCGACGTACTCAAGTGATCCATGCTTGGACGAAGTCGCACCCATCCTAGAAGGCACAAGAAGAATGAGTGCCCTTGTCCTCTCTCTCTCTCTCTCTCTCTCTCTCTCTCTCTCTC